AACTCTCCTCTTTTTTTTAGATTCCCACCCTCCAACTCTACCATATCCGTCTTTTAAAAAATAATACATCAAAACATATAAATTAAATTATTAAAATATCTTTAAAATTAATATAAAAATAAACTGATAAAAATAATTGGAAAATAAACATATAATCTTTTTAACGGATGTCAACGGATGTTTAAGGGAAAACAGATGTCGATATCCGTTTTGCCTTAAACAGATGTTGACATCCGTTTAAAGATTATACGATTACTTTTTAGGGTTTATTACGCACCTCCTTCACGACGAATCTTCCCACATCACCGCACCCCACCACATCGATCTTACATGTTGATCAATTGTTTCCACCATCACTTACAATCTCGCACACTAACTAATGAAAGTCCACCATACTCTCATACCACAATTAGAATGAGAAGAAGAAGTGTGAAAAAGAAGAAGAACATGAAACAAAAAGAGGAGGAAGAAGAGTTCCCACTGCGTGGAGGATTAGAGTGGAGGACTAGAGTGGTTAGAGGTTAAAAGATATTAACCCTAAAATTTTATTAAGGGTAAAATAGGAATGGAAAAATAAAGAGAGGGATAAAACAGGAATGGGGTGGTGGAGGGAGCAAAGTGTGGTGGTGGAGGGAGCAACACCCAACAGATATTTACTAACTTTTTGACAACGCCAGGTGTCGCCTTGTGATTGGTCGTTATTAAATTTGAAAATGTATTTTCCAGAAGGGCGTTTTTGGAAAGGAAAAATTTAGAATCCCTCGTTTTGGCGGTTTGAGTTTTGTTCTTTCTTAGGTTTCAAATTTTGGGAATTTGTCTCTGTAACACTCCTAAGAAACACCAACACCGGTGGAAGGGCTGTCCCTAGTTTGGATTACAGTGTTGTTTCATAGAGTGTGTGTTGTGCATTGGAGGTTCGTCGGCGTCGTGAAGTTTGGTTTCCCGCTTCGCACACACTTTCGCGTTTGAGGCTGGTTTCCCGCTACCCTCCCACCCGGCAGCTACGCCCCCACCGGCAACGTTGGAGGTTGGTTTTCCCCTAGACACACACTAGCGGCGTGGAACTTGGATTTTCCCACTTATCTGGGAGGTGGAGTTTTGTTTGCCGCAAACACCGGTATGTATGAAACTAAAGGTTCATTTTGGGGCAATGTGTGTGAGTTGAAATTTTATTTCACTTACATTTGATGAGGTCCATGACAAGAAAGATGAAATAATTTGTTTTGGCTTTGGTTATTTGTTGTTGTAGGTAATTTGATGTTGTAAGTGTTGAGTTCATTCGAAACCGGAATGGAGGAATGTCATACGAAAGTAAGTAGAGTTTCTGTATTTGTTTTGTCTATATTTTTTTGGAATAGTGATTTTAAGTTTTGAAATTTGAACTTTATTGTAGTGGCACATGCAAGCATGGATGGATACATCTTACATAGTCTGTATGAATTCTTTACTACGAACCAGACATCAAAAGCGCATTGGAGGAACTCCATTTAGGTTTTGTTTATACATTGTTAAACCTCTACAGGTGAGTTTAAAAATGGTGAAGAAGATGGTTTGTAGATGGGTTGGGCACCATGAATCATTTAGAGTTAGCCAACATCTACTTCCATTCAATGCGGTTGATGTTTTGATGACTTTAGGTTTAGGAGTAGGGGGGTTGGAGGTGTCGTATGATGAATCAGTAGTTGGTAAAGTAGGTGAGATGTTCAATACTAAAAGAACGACTTTGAAAGACCTCATGAATATGTTTGATGGGCTTGTATTTAATGATGCTATTGAGGTAGATGTGATTTGTCGTTTGTATATATTAGTTTGTTTTGTGGTATTTTATTTTCCTAGGAAGTCAAGGCTTGTTTGTCACATGCCCTGTATAGTATTAGATGATTTAGATAGGTTGTCTGATTATGATTGGGGTGGTGCTGTACACAAATATCTTGTAAGGAGTCTAAACAGATGTAGTAGGAAAATACTGTCTGGATCGATTGCTGACTCGTTGAGTATTAGTGGCAATGCTGCTGTGTTACAGGTATTATGTTGTTGGATTGTTTATTTAATTTTTTTAAATGTAAGTGATTGTCGTTATTAAATTGAGAAGTTGTGTTTTTGATATTGTAGCTTTGGGCTTTTGAACGCCTTTCTTTGCATCGTCATAGTTCTCATAAGGTATTCCCGCGTGTGACTCAATTTCGTGCGTTTCATTCAGGGACGAAAAGAATAGATGTTCTATTTAAGAGAAGCGATGTAAGTACATTAAATTGATTGAGTGTTTATTAATGTTGTTGTTATTTGAGTAAACTTATTGCCTTTGAATGATATAGGTGGAATTTGATTGGTACCTCAGTGACCATGATCGTCGGAAGCCGCTCATACGTGTTGCTTTCCATATGGATGATAGAGCAAGGCTTGAATGTAGCAGGGCTGCAGAGCGACATGAGAACGAAGGTGAACACAGTTAGGAATCAGAAGCTGAGGAAAAAATAAGAAGAAACAACCTCAAGATAAAAAGGCTAAGAGAAAAAATGAAGGATGTTCGGAACGAACTTCGTCGTATTAGGAAGTGTAGAAAGGTTCAAGAAGATTGTTCGGTTGATGTTGAGGTGAATGTTGACGGTGCAGATCATCCAGTGTATGAAAAACCTGTACGTGAAGCGGATGAAGGAGGTGTAGGTGTAGCGGATGAAGGAGGTGTAGGTGTAACGGAGGAAGGAGCTGTAGGTTTAGCGGAGGAAGGAGTTGTAGGTGAAGTACTTGAAGAACATGCCGCTAAAGTGGATGAAGGAGGTGTCGTTGAAGTACATGAAGAACCTGCGGCTGAAGTGGATGAAGTAGGTGTAATTGAAATAGGTGAAATACGTGACGCTGTAGTGGATGATGGAGGTGTAGGTGAAGTACATGAACTACATGGTTTTGTAGTTGATGAAGGAGGTGTAGGTGAAGTACCTGAAGAAGTTGCCGCTCCAGTGGATGAAGGACGTGTGGGTGAAGTACCTGAACAACCTGTCGCTGAAGTACCTGAACAACCTGTCGCTGAAGTGGATGAAGGACGTGTATGTGAAGTCGATGTAGGTGAAGGGGTTTCCGAACCTGAAAATGAAGAGGGTGAAGAACCATTATGTGTACAACATTATGATCCACCAGCAGTCATTGACATTGGTGAAGATGAAGAAGGAGATGTTATTGTTGAACCGATGTCCGTACGGCCTTTGCGCACTTATGTAGGTGACCCTAGAACACAGGTTGATTTCGACAAATTGTACAACTCAGTAACTGCAAAAGGGATTAAACGAAGGTAATAGAATAATGCTTTATTTTTAAAAAACAGTTATGTTGGTATGCGAATTCTTATTGTTGTGTTTACAGTTTCATTGCTGAAATATTTGGTCAACCACTGAGCACAAATGAATGTGAGTCTCTAGGGCCGAGGCAATATGTTGACAACTTGGTAATTATGCACTTTCATGATATGAATCAATAATGATGTTGTTGAACGTAGAAGCTTGTATTTGAAAGTGCTAAATTTTGTTGTTTTATTTTTTTGTAGGTTGTATTTTTTGCATCATCAATTTTCATGTATTTTGAGAAAAGGTTGTCCGGAGTAGTAAAGAGGATTGTTTTTAGTCCTGTGTTTGGGGTAAAAGATTGATGTTACCTCAATTTATTTCTTGTGTAACTGTTTATTATATTATGGTTTTTTTATTTTGTTATTGTTTATTCATTGCAGAACCATATGCGGTATGATTATAGGAGACGTCCATCAAATCAACATGTGTGGCAACTAAAAGATTATGAAACTTATTTTCCTGTTGATCTAATTGAACTGTCTGACATCTTGTCTGCCAATTTGGTGAGTAACTTGTGATTTGTACTTACCACTTGCTTTGTTATTTTGTTTATGAAATGTTTTCAATTATCATTTATGTGGCCACTCGTAGGTTTTCATCCCATATTTAAGTGATAATCATTGGTGGTGCTATGCCTTTAAAGTTTGCACCTTTGAGTTTTTTTGTGATTGACTCACTTGGTAATGGTATCAAAGGGCGTGCTCGGATTGACAAAAGCATGGTAATTTTTATAGTGTATTTTCAATATTGATTATATAATGTATTTTGAGAATTGGTTATAATTGTTACAATAATCTGTTGAACCGTATTTAATTTGGAATGTATATTTTATATGACAAGCTAAAAATATGCAGCGTTTTTTTGGTTTGTTGACCAATAAGCTAGAAGAATCGAAGTGTCCTTTAATAGTTAAACAAGCCAATATCCTTGTCCAACCTAACTTGTAAGTTGATTGTCCATGGATTAGTTGTTAATTTTTTATAGCCGAAGCAAAAGTTATGAATGATTTATGGTTTTTTGTATGATATAGATATGACTATGGTGTTGTCATGTTGAAAGCAATTGAATTGTGGGATGGAGATGAGAAATATAATGGTCAAAGTTTGCCAAATTATACAAATGTAAGTTTGACTCTGTGTGTGAAAATATGTCATGAATATTGGGGTGTGTTTTTATTCATAATTTGAAAATGTTAATTTCAGGAGGAGTTGTTCGGCTTCAGGAAAAAATATGTTTGTGACTAGATCCTTGGCAACGACAACGTCCGAAGATTCGACACCTTGGAACGATTTGGATTAATATAGAATGTAAATAGGAAAACAATGACAGGAACAAATTTTGTATTAATTTTGAATTGAAGTGTTGTCCTGTTCATTAAATATTAATTTTATTAATATTACATTTGGTAATTTAAATGTGTTAGTAATTAATTTAAATGTGTTCTTCTAATTCTTGGGCCTCGTAATCGATTACAAGGGAGGGGTAATTGAATACTAGGGGAAAATCGTGTTTTTGTACAAAAACTTGGTCTATACTCCCCCGCTTTGGCTGAATGGCTCCCCTTTGTTCCTTCGTGGGTCAATTGTGTAGTTTTCAGAATAACCTTGGTTGGAACCGGTGACCCTAGTGTCTGTCCTAGATAGTGAGACTTGAATGGATGTGTTAGGCCTGTTGAGGTGTTAGATTGGGAGAAGGTGAGGTGTTTTTGTACAAAAACTTGGTCTGTACTCCCCCGCTTTGGCTGAATGGCTCCCCTTTGTTCCTTCGTGGGTCAATTGTGTAGTTTTCGGAATAACCTTGGTTGGAACAATGTTGTGCATCCTCGTTGTTCCCAAATGTTATATTATCAAGATCAAGAGCATCTAGAGCAGGATTTGTTGTTGCTTCATCTAAGTGAACATTTTCACCATCATTTTCACCTTCAACTTGATCCATCTCAACAACATCATCTGTCTCTTCAGCTATCCATTCATCATCTGATTCAATGTCATCAAATGGAAGAGCTACAGTTTTTCGAATTTGTCTACTTTTCAGCTTGGAGTTATACATCACATAAATTAAATCATTCATCTTTTTTTATGCAAACGATTCCTTCTCTTTGTATGAACCTAAAATGAAATATAATATTTTTAATGAAGATATAAACATAATAAATTTATAAATTAAAAATAATTTAAATTACCATTTCAAATGAGCTCAAGTTACGCTCACATCCAGAAGAACTACAAGTCAAGCTTAGAATTCGAATAACAAATCTCTTCAACTCTGGAGTTCCATCACCAAACATGTCCCACCATTCCCTAGGATTTAACTCTTTCCTACACTCCTTTGCATCTTCCATTCCAAAAAGTCCTCTAGCATTATGAAATTCAACAATTTGTAAATTAATTTTTCTTCTTTCTGCCATATCTGGTATCAATCTTCTCATGCAAAAATACAATCCTTCTTTCACCTCTCCACCATCATCACTTCTAAAGTTAGGTTCATAGTTGAAACGGGGGTTCAGAAAATAGGCAGCTGCATGCAAAGGCCTATGAAGTTGATTATCCCATCGAGCATCAATTATTCTCCAAACCTCTTCATAACTACATCAATTATGCTATATCAGAAATAATTTCACACATAAGTAATTAAACATTGAATAAGTAAAAGTTTGAAAATTTACCTCTTTTTGATATTGTTAAAGTTAGACCTAATCTTCTCTTTTGCACAATCCATCTCTTCATAAATGAAACCCATTGCGGGTTTTACATCTGAGTCTACTAATCTTAATACCACCATAAGAGGGGCAGCAACTTTCAGGCATATGGAGACATTCTTCCAGAACCGACTATCTAATACCACATATTCTACTTTTCTGCCCTCTAGTGAAGTTCCAAACTTGCTTGTCTTCCACTCTTTAGAGCTAAACATGGTCAACAACGATGCCTTCAATTCATGAAGACAAGCAAGAGTTAAATAAGTTGTGGCAAATCTAGTCACACCCGGTCTTATCAAGTCTCTACCTTTAGTGAACTTTTTCAACAAGGAAATCAACATTGATCTTCCATAAATGTAGGTGGTAATCTTTCTTCCCTTCTTAATTGTCAATTCATGGACCTTTAAATTTTTTTCAAAATCTTCAAATATCAAATCAATGCAATGTGCTGCGCATGGAGTCCAATACAATCTTTCCCTCTTTTGCATCAATAACTCTCCAACTACCTTGAAATTTGCAGCATTATCAGTGACAACTTGAACAACATTTTCTTCTCCAACAAACTCAACAACATCATCTAACATTTTGAAAACTTTATCAGCTGTTTTTGATATGTCTGAAGTGTCAAGTGAATAAAGAAAAATCGTCCCTTTAGGACTATTCACCAAGAAGTTGCAAATAGAACGTCTTTTTTTATCTGTCCAACCATCAGTCATAATTGTACATCCAGTTTTCTTCCACTCCTCCTTATAATCCTCAAGGATTTCATCTGTTTTATTCACAGCTTGTTTCAACAGCTTTTCTCTAATGTCATGATAAGATGGTGGTTTGTATCCAACTCCATACTTACCAATCATTTCACACATTTTTGCAAATGCTGGATTTCTAATTACATTAAAAGGAATGGCACTGGTGTAAAAGAATTCAGCCACTTGAGCATCAACTTCTTCTTTGTATCCTTTTTTCATCATTTGACTTATAATTGCTTGGACTCCTCCCTTGCTAGCAGTAGCAACTTTTTGTTTTCCTTTAAAACTGAATATCTTGTGTCCTCCTTCAAGACTCTCATTTTCTTCCTCGTCTTCATCGATATTTATCTTTCTTTTCTTTAATGATGCATTCTTGGCTTCAACAACTATTTTTATCATCAAATTTTTTATTTCATCTGAAACAGAAGTACAAGGTTCAGAATCCTCCCTTGTTCCAGCAAGATGGTGTTTAAATCTAAATATACCTCCACTCAATCTTTGAGCAATAGTTACATTTCACTTTTCTTCCATTACCGTTAACGTCAAACCCATGTTTCCATCCAATATCAGATCGATTTCCCGGAGCATTTTTACTTCTACTCTTAGTGAATGAAGATGTAGNTGTGGAATTTGGAGAAATTTGGGAAAGTAACTGGGATTTCAAGAAATCCCTAAATTGGAAGATTGAAATCCTGAGGGGAGCCAGACCAGAACGCCGTGTCGTCCGTCAACATGAACCTCCCATTCCTGTGATGAAGTCGGACCGGAACGACGCGCCCAATGGTGACTTGGACACCGCGATGGGCCCCCGTTCTGCAGGTAGAAGTGGATCTCCACCTCGAAGACCTTCGTCTGCACATGCTTCGCTCACTCGCTCCTGCGGGGAGTGACCTCCCCGGGTGTCGCCTCCACCTCCTCGATTTCTCCCACCAGCAGGGGCGTCTTGAGGTCGCCGTCCATGATCAGTGCGGTTGCCGGCCAAGACGAGGACGCAGAGTGTGGTTCTGGAGGAAGAAGATAGGGTTGTTGTTGATGTATGGTGGAATTATATATGTTTTATTCGTTGCAGGGCTGATGTTTTGTTGGATTGTTGGATGGTATTTTGTTGATGGAAGATTTGGGAAGAGGAATCAGGAACTTCAAAAAAGTGTTACTTATCTCAATATTGGTTTTGTTTAATTATGTTTTACTGTTGTTGGTAATATCAGATTCAATATCACTAAATAAGCTCTTCACTCCTTTACATATTCTTTAAAAATTATTTTTTATTGAATAAATAAAAAATACATTTTTCGTAGACAAAACGTTGCGTTTTGATTAAAGTCAATTTTTTAAATGAATAAATAAAAAAAAAAAGCCAACTCAGATAACCAATATGTGCCACGTCAACAGCACTTAGTCAAGTCACTAAGCCATGAATCAATTTTTTTGACGCTGTCTACCTAACTTAACGGCAAGGTTTAATTTGATTCAAATTTTAACAATTAAGGACCTAATCGAGAGACTTTAAAATACGAGGACCTATTTGAGACGATCCTACACAAATAGGGATATCGAAAAGGATTAAACTAAAAAAATATTAAGTTTTATTATTTTAAATTTAATTTAATTTAAAATAAAATAAAATTATATTTTATTAGGTTAAATTTAATTTAAATTAATTTTTAATTTATATTTAATTTACTTTATATTACATTATATATATATATTTTATAAATTTATTTAAATTTTATTTAAAAAATATATAAAATAAATTTTTTAAATTTTTGGCGGGTATCCGCGGTACCCGCGGGTATTTTTTATGCGGGTATCCGTGCGGGTTCGGGGTAGGTTGCGTGCGGATTTTTTTTTTGCGGGTTGGGTTGCGGGTAGGCACTATCCGTGCCCGACCCGACCCGTTGCCATCCCTATGCAGGATGAAATGCTTAGAGGTGCAGGATCAAACACTCATGTTTCTTTAGGTGTTACTTCCTCCACCACTACTACTTCTCCCTCCACCTCCCCAACCTTTTCTAAAAAAAATTTAAATACAAAAATAATCTTTTTTAATTACAAAAATAACCTTTATTTTATTTTTAATCATATTTATTTACTTTGAATTCAAACCCTATTTTTCTACCCACTCACTTTTCACTCGGCCCAACCACTAACTCTCCTCTTTTTTTTAGATTCCCACCCTCCAACTCTACCATATCCGTCTTTTAAAAAATAATACATCAAAACATATAAATTAAATTATTAAAATATCTTTAAAATTAATATAAAAATAAACTGATAAAAATAATTGGAAAATAAACATATAATCTTTTTAACGGATGTCAACGGATGTTTAAGGGAAAACAGATGTCGATATCCGTTTTGCCTTAAACAGATGTTGACATCCGTTTAAAGATTATACGATTACTTTTTAGGGTTTATTACGCACCTCCTTCACGACGAATCTTCCCACATCACCGCACCCCACCACATCGATCTTACATGTTGATCAATTGTTTCCACCATCACTTACAATCTCGCACACTAACTAATGAAAGTCCACCATACTCTCATACCACAATTAGAATGAGAAGAAGAAGTGTGAAAAAGAAGAAGAACATGAAACAAAAAGAGGAGGAAGAAGAGTTCCCACTGCGTGGAGGATTAGAGTAGAGGATTAGAGTGGGTAGAGATTAAAAAGGATTAGAGTGGTTAGAGGTTAAAAGATATTAACCCTAAAATTTTATTAAGGGTAAAATAGGAATGGAAAAATAAAGAGAGGGATAAAACAGGAATGGGGTGGTGGAGGGAGCAAAGTGTGGTGGTGGAGGGAGCAACACCCAACAGATATTTACTAACTTTTTGACAACGCCAGGTGTCGCCTTGTGATTGGTCGTTATTAAATTTGAAAATGTATTTTCCAGAAGGGCGTTTTTGGAAAGGAAAAATTTAGAATCCCTCGTTTTGGCGGTTTGAGTTTTGTTCTTTCTTAGGTTTCAAATTTTGGGAATTTGTCTCTGTAACACTCCTAAGAAACACCAACACCGGTGGAAGGGCTGTCCCTAGTTTGGATTACAGTGTTGTTTCATAGAGTGTGTGTTGTGCATTGGAGGTTCGTCGGCGTCGTGAAGTTTGGTTTCCCGCTTCGCACACACTTTCGCGTTTGAGGCTGGTTTCCCGCTACCCTCCCACCCGGCAGCTACGCCCCCACCGGCAACGTTGGAGGTTGGTTTTCCCCTAGACACACACTAGCGGCGTGGAACTTGGATTTTCCCACTTATCTGGGAGGTGGAGTTTTGTTTGCCGCAAACACCGGTATGTATGAAACTAAAGGTTCATTTTGGGGCAATGTGTGTGAGTTGAAATTTTATTTCACTTACATTTGATGAGGTCCATGACAAGAAAGATGAAATAATTTGTTTTGGCTTTGGTTATTTGTTGTTGTAGGTAATTTGATGTTGTAAGTGTTGAGTTCATTCGAAACCGGAATGGAGGAATGTCATACGAAAGTAAGTAGAGTTTCTGTATTTGTTTTGTCTATATTTTTTTGGAATAGTGATTTTAAGTTTTGAAATTTGAACTTTATTGTAGTGGCACATGCAAGCATGGATGGATACATCTTACATAGTCTGTATGAATTCTTTACTACGAACCAGACATCAAAAGCGCATTGGAGGAACTCCATTTAGGTTTTGTTTATACATTGTTAAACCTCTACAGGTGAGTTTAAAAATGGTGAAGAAGATGGTTTGTAGATGGGTTGGGCACCATGAATCATTTAGAGTTAGCCAACATCTACTTCCATTCAATGCGGTTGATGTTTTGATGACTTTAGGTTTAGGAGTAGGGGGGTTGGAGGTGTCGTATGATGAATCAGTAGTTGGTAAAGTAGGTGAGATGTTCAATACTAAAAGAACGACTTTGAAAGACCTCATGAATATGTTTGATGGGCTTGTATTTAATGATGCTATTGAGGTAGATGTGATTTGTCGTTTGTATATATTAGTTTGTTTTGTGGTATTTTATTTTCCTAGGAAGTCAAGGCTTATTTGTCACATGCCCTGTATAGTATTAGATGATTTAGATAGGTTGTCTGATTATGATTGGGGTGGTGCTGTACACAAATATCTTGTAAGGAGTCTAAACAGATGTAGTAGGAAAATACTGTCTGGATCGATTGCTGACTCGTTGAGTATTAGTGGCAATGCTGCTGTGTTACAGGTATTATGTTGTTGGATTGTTTATTTAATTTTTTTAAATGTAAGTGATTGTCGTTATTAAATTGAGAAGTTGTGTTTTTGATATTGTAGCTTTGGGCTTTTGAACGCCTTTCTTTGCATCGTCATAGTTCTCATAAGGTATTCCCGCGTGTGACTCAATTTCGTGCGTTTCATTCAGGGACGAAAAGAATAGATGTTCTATTTAAGAGAAGCGATGTAAGTACATTAAATTGATTGAGTGTTTATTAATGTTGTTGTTATTTGAGTAAACTTATTGCCTTTGAATGATATAGGTGGAATTTGATTGGTACCTCAGTGACCATGATCGTCGGAAGCCGCTCATACGTGTTGCTTTCCATATGGATGATAGAGCAAGGCTTGAATGTAGCAGGGCTGCAGAGCGACATGAGAACGAAGGTGAACACAGTTAGGAATCAGAAGCTGAGGAAAAAATAAGAAGAAACAACCTCAAGATAAAAAGGCTAAGAGAAAAAATGAAGGATGTTCGGAACGAACTTCGTCGTATTAGGAAGTGTAGAAAGGTTCAAGAAGATTGTTCGGTTGATGTTGAGGTGAATGTTGACGGTGCAGATCATCCAGTGTATGAAAAACCTGTACGTGAAGCGGATGAAGGAGGTGTAGGTGTAGCGGATGAAGGAGGTGTAGGTGTAACGGAGGAAGGAGCTGTAGGTTTAGCGGAGGAAGGAGTTGTAGGTGAAGTACTTGAAGAACATGCCGCTAAAGTGGATGAAGGAGGTGTCGTTGAAGTACATGAAGAACCTGCGGCTGAAGTGGATGAAGTAGGTGTAATTGAAATAGGTGAAATACGTGACGCTGTAGTGGATGATGGAGGTGTAGGTGAAGTACATGAACTACATGGTTTTGTAGTTGATGAAGGAGGTGTAGGTGAAGTACCTGAAGAAGTTGACGCTCCAGTGGATGAAGGACGTGTGGGTGAAGTACCTGAACAACCTGTCGCTGAAGTACCTGAACAACCTGTCGCTGAAGTGGATGAAGGACGTGTATGTGAAGTCGATGTAGGTGAAGGGGTTTCCGAACCTGAAAATGAAGAGGGTGAAGAACCATTATGTGTACAACATTATGATCCACCAGCAGTCATTGACATTGGTGAAGATGAAGAAGGAGATGTTATTGTTGAACCGATGTCCGTACGGCCTTTGCGCACTTATGTAGGTGACCCTAGAACACAGGTTGATTTCGACAAATTGTACAACTCAGTAACTGCAAAAGGGATTAAACGAAGGTAATAGAATAATGCTTTATTTTTAAAAAACAGTTATGTTGGTATGCGAATTCTTATTGTTGTGTTTACAGTTTCATTGCTGAAATATTTGGTCAACCACTGAGCACAAATGAATGTGAGTCTCTAGGGCCGAGGCAATATGTTGACAACTTG